AGGGGCAAAGTGCGACACTGGCCCTTTGAGGCATCTGTGGCTGAGTGGCTCTGAGCACATGTGGGCCTGGCCCTCCCAGCAGGGCACTCGCAGCCCAGCCCCGGGGACCCTGCCTTTGTGCACCGTCCCCTCCTTCCCCAGTGCCCTGAGCCCGCCGGCCCTTGGCACTGCCGGCTGTGCCTGCACCTGCCCTCGGCCATGTGTGCTGATGGGTGGGGCCGGGGGTGCAAATCCCAAACGAGGGGTTAGCTGGGGGTCCCGGGACGCCAAACCAGAAGGACTAGTGGAGCTTGAGGGGTACTGGGAGGAGAAGCAGCCAGCATGGGATGCCCCAGAACCAGAAGTGCTAGGCACTCCTGCAAAGGACCAGTTGTGGTGGCCGAAGGACCCTGAGGGGCTCAGGAGGGCTGGAGTCCAGTGTCAGGGAGACAGGAAGCCCCGGGAGGGGTTCCAGCCGCCGAATCTGGTTTCCTGCCACCTGGAGGAGGGGCTCTGTGAGCTGCTGTGGCTGCCCGGACCTGGCCGGCCGGGCAGGAGGGTGGGGTGGGGGCGAGGAGCACAGGTGCGGGGCCTGGTGTGGAGACGGGGCCAACCACCTGTAGGTGGCTGTGGGGTGATCACCTGGGCACCGGCTCCTTCCAGGGTTCTGTTTGATGGTCACAGATACCATCCAGGGGGAGGGTCTGCTGAGGCTCCAGCTGTGTGTGGCAGTCGAGGTTTTACTGACGGGACATCCCACTGGCAGTGGACACTGGGGGAGGCTGGTGGGCATGGAGTCAGCAGAGTCTCTGAGCATTTGGGGTCCCATTGACTGTGCCCAGCCCGGCAGGACCGAGGCGTCGATCCGGGGTGAGGGAGGGGCTCCCTGACAGGCCTTGAGCCTGGGGAGACCCACGGGTCATCGGGTGTGAACCAGAATCTTGAGCCTGGCATGAGTTGGGGGAGTAGTCTCATGTGCCTCCTGGGTCTCGGGCACCTGGACTGCTTCTGGGGGTCGCCCACTATGGGGACCCCAGGCGGGCCTGGAGCTGTGTGCGTGTTGGGGTCCTGGGGTTCACCTCGTAGGGCTATGGGCTTTGGGGTGTCAGTTAGGATCGGGCCTCTGGGGCTGTCTTTCCGGAGGACAGAGACCTGGCAGAGGGCTGGGTGGTTGGCTGGGACTGGCTTGGGGTGGGGAGGAGGGAGGGGCTCAGTCCTCGCCCAACATCTGTGACTCCCCGGGAGTGTGATTTAGGATAAGCATTTCTTCCTTTGGGAAAATGGACATAGTTTATTCTGGGATCTGCAGAAGAGCCACCAGATAACCAGGGATGAAGCCAGGCCCTGGCTGGCCATCTGGGTGCACACGGCGGGTGGCGTGTACCGTGCATCGAGGGAGAATCCTGGGACCTGGGACATGGCAGGCGCTGGACCGGGACCCACTGTTCTCTAAATCTTGGGCTGGGAGGGGAAGTAAAGCCCTTTGTGGTTTCCTAGTCCAGGATTCCCTGAACACTGCTGCCTTTGTGTGTCCAGGGGCCTTTCAGCGGGTTTCCAGAGCAGTGTGCTTTGTGTCCTGGGGCCAGAGCTGGCCTCAGTCCTGCGTCCCGAGGGCCTGGAGCCCAGTGGGCACTGCCTGGAGCCGGGGGCCGCTGCCTGGGCCTCCGCACAGGTGCCCCACGCGGTGCCTGCTCTGTCTCGCTGCCTCCCTGGCCCTCGGTTGCAGATTTCTTGCAGGTGCGGCGGCTCTGAGCAGGGCTCTGGAGTAGCCACAGGGAGCGTGTCCCACGTGGAGGTACAGGGGCGGGGTCGGTCCCAGAGCTTCAGGGGCCAGGGCAGCAGATCCCACTCTGAGGGGCCGCTCCACCTTGAGGGGTGGGCGTGTAGGGCGCCTGTGGGTGCATGTAGAGGGGCTGGTTCTGGGGAGGCAGGCTTTCTCCCCGTGGGCCGTGGGGAGTGGGGGCTGGCTGGGGAAGGGGAAGGCTGGGTGGATGCTGGGGAGGGGGAGACGCATGGCAGCACCCAGAACAGACGGCGCAAGTGAGATTCGTCGTGACGGCGTCTGCTGCCGCTGGCCCTGTGGGGAGGGCCCCGCTCCGGGTCACGCTTGGTGTCCCTTGCTGTCCGTGGACCACAGCCACGTCGGTTCTCTGTGTTCATCTGAAAGCTGGGGGTGACAGGGTTGAACGGTGTCGCTGAGATGGTGTCGTCCTGGTGTGAGGGAGCCCGGTGTGGGGCTGTGATGGGGAGGGCTTCCCCCCAACCCCGGACCCACCTGGGAGGGGCGGTCGGATGTCCTGGTGCCTGGTCCTTATTGGAGAACAGATGGACTTCTCGCCTTTCCAGCAGCCCAGGAGTCTGGGGCAGGATGGGGGTTGGTGGGAATGGGAGTGGGCCCTTGGCACCCCCTGGCTCAGGTGGGCTGTGTGTTCGGATGGCTTCACTGGGGGCTCATGTGAGCAGGCATGGGGAGGGGTGGGGTGAGCTGGGGGCTGTGAGCTGGGGCCCGCTGGGTAGGGCAACGTGTGGGCCCCGTGCTGGGTGTGAGGAGCATTCTGATGGTAGCGGGTGTACACTCGGTGCTTTGTCCCCTCACCCCTGGCGGCCTCCTTTGCTTGCTCGGCTGAATCGGGAAGGAAGACGGCCCCAGCCTGCAGGATCGTGAAAGCCCCAGACAGGGGGCCCTTCTGACCAGAGCCCAGTGTCGGAGAGGTGTGTGGCTGCGTGACACGGGCAGCTCCCCTCCCGGGAAGGCAGCCCGCCCCAGGCCGCCCCCCCCACCGGCTTATGACGGATGCTGCGTGAGGAGGGGCCCCTCAGGTCCTTTGGAAAATGGAAGGAAGTAGATTTACATGCCAGCACTTTCTACCTGGTTTATTTTTATTTTTCAAGTTAGAAAAGCAATGGGAGCATGAGTAAAACAGAAATAGCAGTGGGGAAGCGTGACAGGACATTTGGGGAGAAGTTTACGGCCTCCCACGAGCCTCCCTCAGGGTCCAGTGTCACCTGAGGTCTCTTTAGATGCCCGTTGGCCACCATGGTGACCACGGGGCAGCAGCATTTTATAACTGCCTCTGTGACCCCAGGGACACCCCGTGAGTCCTTGCAGTGCTCAGAGCCCCCGCTGTGCTGCCAAGACACTCGCCGTTGTTGGACTTGCTCCTGGGACGCGTCCCGAGACGGGGCATCACTGTCCGAAGGGCGTCGGTGCCAGTGTTGGTGCTTCCCGCCGCCGCCGCCGCCGCCGCGTCCCTGGCTTCGGTTTCCTTCCCAGGGAAGCTGCAGGGTTTTGCATGAGTGCTGGTAGCTTTCCTCCTGCCGGGACTCCTCTGCTCACGGAGTCTGTGCGTCGTCTGTGTCCCGAGGCCTCTAACTTTCACCACCCTGTTCAGGTTGTCCTACAGCAAATATGCTAGTTCTCATACACTCTGTTTGCTATAGGTGTCCTCTGTTTCATTGCATTTTTTTTTTAAACAAATGGTAGTTGACAGTTAGAGGTTTTGTTTTTTTTTTTAACTTTGATTAGTTTTTCAGTCTCTTAACATAGACCGTCATGCTCTCTTTAGGGACTTGATAAGTGCTCTCTCTCTTTTTTTTTTTAAAGTTTACTTAACCATCTGGAGTGCACAGCTCCTGTACTTGGATATCATTTCCAGGTGGCCAGCTGTGTGCCCCCTGCCTGCCACGCGAGCAGGGACACTGCCTCCCCCAGCCCCATGGCATTGCGCACTCCAGGGCCCCCTGGGTTCCAGGGGGTGGTGGGTTTCATGTGGCTTTTGCTCCAGGGCCACGTTGGGCCACCTTAGTGTTCCACATGGGGCCCGAGAAGCGCCTGTCCCAGGGGCTACTGCGCTCTTCCTCTGACATGCCGCAGCCTCCGTTGTCCTTGGAGACCAGAGCGAGCCCTGGGTCTTCCTGACCGGGTTTCCAGAGCCCCCTCTGTGAGCAAGCTTTCTTGCCCTGAGCAGTGGTGTGGGTGGAGCGGAGGCCCCTTGGGGGCTGCAGACGGGCACCCTTACTTAGGCTGTGACTTAACGTGATTTAACGGTCTGAGCGCCTCCGAGCCTGCCCTATCCAAAACAGGACGTGCTTCTCCCGCCTTCGCGGTTCTCCGTGAAGTACCCCAGCTAGGCGGTGAGGGCCGAGCTGATGGGTTCCACCCTGCTCACCCCGCTTCCTGCCCGCCTCGCGCGGACATCATTGTGCTGTGTACTGAGTCCAGGGTGGGTGTTGGGCGCTCGTGCGTCACGTTAAAATCTCGGGGTGGTTTTGCCTGATCCCTGTGCTGCCCGCTTCAGAGGGGGAAGCTGAGGCTCAGAAAGGTGGGGAGTGGCGGGACGGGCTGTGAGCCCTGGCGCGTCCAGCGTCCCTGCCCTGTGGGGCCTCATGGAGGTTGAGGGCCAGGGTACGTGGGAGCTCCCTGACCTGCAGCCCCAGGCTGAGGGGCGTGTGACTGGGGGCTTCGGAGTGAGGCCGACTGGACAAGCAGCAGGGCCTCTCTCACCCTGCCCCTGAGCCTTCCTGGCCGAGTCGGGGCAGGGACGCGGGGAACGGGGGCCCCACTGCATGTCCGTCCTGGTGTGCACGTGTGTGTGAACTTGTGTGTGTCCTCCACGCCAGCACAGCCACCCCCTCTGCTGAGCCAGCACCAGGGTCTGGCTGCCCTCCTGCTCCAGGCTGGGCCCACCTCTATGCTGGGAGGGCCCACCCAGAGATGTGGCTTCCTTCTGCCCTGCGGGGTGCATGGGGGAGTTAGCCTGGGTAGGTGATAGAGGTCCGAGGTCAGCAGCCAGCCCAGCCAGGTGGGGGTGACAGGGCCCGGGCCTGGTGGGCACAAGACGGGCACCTGTGGACCTTGGGTTCCCTGAGTAGTGGGACTGGCTGCTCCCTGAGGGCAGTGCTTGGTCTCAGCCCAGGGCTGCGGCCTGGGGCCGCGTGTGGAGGCTTGTGGGTGCATGGGCAGGTAGGCGGCCAGCAGGCAACTGACCAGGTGACCACACCTCCCTCTTCTCCTCTTGCAGGGACCCCGACCGTCATGTTAAGGTAAAGCAGAGGGGCTCAGTGCTGAACATGCTAAGGAGACTGGACAAGATCAGGTTCAGAGGTCACAAGAGGGACGACTTCCTCGATCTGGCAGAGTCTCCAAACGCCTCGGACACCGAATGCGGAGACGAGGTGCCCCTGAAGACACCTCGGACCTCGCCCCGGGACGGCGAGGAGCTGAGGGACCCTGTGAGTACGCCGTGCGGGCCCCTGGGACCGGAGCATCCCCCTCCTCCGCGTGACTGCAGACCCTGGGTCTCTCGCTGCAGAGTGGGGCTGTCCCCATCCTGGGGGCCAGTGGACTTGGGTGGACCGTGTCCTGCCTGGGCTGGTCTGACACCAGTGGGGCTTGCTCCCCCTCGGCCCCCGACCCTCCGTCCCCCAGCCTCTCGGGTGGGGGCTTGTCCACAGATCGGGGACAAAACAGCCTTTCCTTTACCCAGCATTTGTCCAGAGGCTGGATTTCTTTCCCTTCCTGGTTGGTTTTCTGGGTGGCTCGCAGACTTCTCATGCAGAAGTGAGGCTGCGGCCCCAGCCCGGCCCCTGGGAGGTTGACCCGGCGTGGCTGAGGGCGCTGTCTAGGAGTCGCTAGGTCCTCAAGCCTCTGGCTGGTCTGTCCGGCCGTCCAGGGTGCGCGTCACCGATCCCGGTAGCTGGCTGAGCCCAGGCTGCGTGTCCTCAGCCCACGAGGGGACAGTGGCCCCTGCGGGCCAGGCAGTGGCGCCCCTCGTTTGGACGGTGGGAACCCTCCACAGGGCCGGGCCAGCCCTGCCTCCTGGGAGCTTGTGTTTGGTCAGCGGGTTTGTGGTAGGGAGGGCGGGCTCCCTGTGGCCCACTCCTGGCCCGACGTGACCGCTGGGCTCTCTGTGCTGAGCACAGCTCCCTGAGTCCCCCGCGTTGCCACCGAGGAAGCCTGGAGCCGCCCCTCACCCATGGTGGGCGACCTTGGAGTGGACACTGGGTTTGGTGACCTGTCGGTTCCTCCCGAAGCACCTGAGCTAGGTTTTCTTTCCAGATGTGGCGGAACGCTCACCCTCCTGGCTCCCTGCGTCGTTAACGCTGTCCAGCAGGACGCACAGCTCTTGCTCTTGCAGGAATGAGTGGTGACAGGCGGGGCTGGGCTGCAGAGCCTGGCGGGGACCCCCGCCTGGGCTTCCTCTGTCCCCTGCAGCCGCAGGGCCCCGTGCTGGACCAGGGACCACTTGGTGTGACCCCCAGTGTAGTCTGGCAGCATCTACCTGCCCGCTGGGGCGTTGTGGGGGTCGCAGGCACTGTCCTAAGAAGAGGGGTGGGACCAGCTTTTCGGCAAGGGCCGAGGGCAGGACGTGAGGGTGGGGCGAGCCCAGGGTCACGTGTGTAAATGCCGGTCACACTGGCTCACTGCACACCCGCCTCCACCCTCGCTTCCTCCTGACGCTTCCCTGGCTCGCTTCTGTGATGGGGGATGGGCTCAGCATCCCACAGTGGAATGTGACGTCCTTCATTTAACCTCTGCCCCCAAGGGACACTTGGTGCCCTGAGCTCTTGGCGTTCGTCACTCTCGCAAGCCTTGTGCCCACGTGTCCCAGGTGGGTGGGCTGGGTCCAGGTGTCTGTCATCCTGGTGGCCGTCACCAGCCCCTCCTGTGGTGTGCGCTGCGCCCTCCCGAGGGGCCCGTGGCCCACGCCCTTGCCACCAGCACGGGGTGTCTTGGGTGTTTCTGGCTTGCCAACCCAAGGGGTGGGGAGTGGCAGCTCCGAGTGCTTTTAACTTACGTGGTTTTTACGAGGAGGGAGGTGGGTCATCTTTGCCTGTGTTGACTTTTTTTTTATTTTTTTTAAATTGTGGTAAAACACCCATAATGTAAAATCGAGCAGTTTAAATAGTTTTTAAGTGCACAGCCCGGTGGCGTTAAGCACGTCCACAATGTTGTGCAGCCGTCACCACCATCCGTTTCTGGAACTTTTTCATCTTCCCAGACTGAAGCTCTGTCCCCACCAGACACCAGCTCCCAGCCTCTGACCCCCACCACCTCCCTCCTGTCTCCGTGAATCGACTCCTCCAGGCCCATCATGAGGGAGCCCGGGTGCTTGTCCCCTGTGATGGGCCTGTCTCAGCACCGTGTCTGCAGGGGCGGTCCTGCTCCAGTGTCAGGATTCATTCTTATTTCCTTTTTTGTGGGCGATCAGTGTCCTGGGGCAAAGGCGGTGGGTGGACCCAGTGGTTGAGGGTAGAATCCAGCCCCCACGGTGAGAGGACAGAGGGAGGGTGGGGTCCCAGGAGGCGGGGTGTGCAGGGCGACAGTGGAGCAGGTGGAGTGATGTCCAGGTCAGGGTGTGGCTGGGTGGAGGAAGGGCCATTGAAGAGATAGATGGGGAGCCCCAGGCCACAGTCCACTGAGTGGTCAGTGTCAAGCCAGTAAGATGGGGGGGCGCAGCAAGGAGGAGGGGACTGGCGCCCTAGAGCTGGGGGCAGAGGCAGTGACCCCACGCACAGGGAGGCAGGGTGGCAGACGCCTCCAAGAGTCGGGGTGGGAGGGGCTGCCCTCCTCTGAGAAGCCGAGTTGAGACACGGTTCTCGGGAAGCTGGAGGACAGAGACGCGGCTGGACCCGCTCCCCAGTTCCATGGATGTGACCCTGCAGCCTTGGTGGGCTTGTTCATTCAGGTCCCTGTCCAGGCCCTTGACCCCCAGCTGGAGAGGGGTCTGAGAAGGGGTCAGCTGGAGAGACCCCAGGGGCGCACAGAGTGGTTCGGCCCCCAGAGTTTCAGAGCACCACCCCGGTGCCTGCCGTCCCCATCGGCGTCTCCGCCAGCTGGTCGGCTGCCCAGAGCCAGTCCTCACCACCCCGGCCGTCCCGTGGGTCCCCAGCCAAGCTGCTATGGCTTTGGCACCAGGTCCAACTGAAGCCATGAGCGTCCCAGGCCCTTGTGGACCCGGGGGCCCCTGTGAGGGTTCCTTAAAGCTCTGGGGCAAGTTCCAGAGGAGCTTAGTTCCAGCAGCTAAGAGGCTGATGTGAGTTACAGCCATCTGAAGACGTGGATTAATATGTCCAGGCGGTGCCTGCAAACCGGGGGGCGCCCTCCTTGCTTTGGTGAAGAAGTTGCTAACAGCATGGAGCCCAGTGTCCTGCACCGAATCAATGCAGACCCTCCTTTCTGGGCCAGCCTCTGCCCTCTGCTCTGGGGTCACCACCTTGGCCATTGCGGTGGGGGATGGGCAGGAGAGGGACAAACTCATCTGCTGGGGTGAGTGGACAAGTACGCGCCATCTTCCCTGCGTCAGGGCTGGGGGTACCCTGCCTTCCACCCGCTGCCCCAGTCTCCCCTTACCTGTCCTGCCAGGCCTGGGGGGCTGCCCGGTAAACAGAGCCTGGCCCCTGCCCTCTGGGAACCAGAGCAGCGGAAGTCCAAAAGGTCAAGTGTCAGGCAGGGCTGCTGTAGACTTACCAGCACCCGTCGGTTCCCCGGTGTCAGCTTCTCCGTCTTGGGCTGTGGCCTCAGAGCAGACGACATGTATATGGAGAGGTCACCAGGGCTGTCACGGGCCCTGTCCCGGCTGCGTGTCCCCTTCCACCCTCACCCAGCCTTGGAGGGGCGTGGGGACCAAAACTAGGGAGTCAGACCCCCGTCAGAGGGCGGAGCGCTTGGGCGCTGCCCCCAGCCTGGTCAGCAGCGGGAAGTGGTGTGGGGTGACCGTGGGGGTGTCGGCTGTGAGCCGGTGCGCCCTGGCTCCTTTCCAGGGGCAGTGGTGGCCTGTAACCAGAGCCTGCCTGGGCCCGTCGGGACAGCGGGTGGTGGCTTTAATTAGCCCTCTGTGGGACAGGACAGGGCCCTGTTTGGAGTTTGCTCACCTCGGAGCCTGGCACGTGGCCGCGTCCTCGCCCACCTCCTGGAGTCCTGGTGCTCCCGGGGTGTGGGGCTCAGGCCCTGTGGCTGGGCCCACCCTCCTCCTGGGATGTGGCCATGCGGGCCCGCGCAGGTCTCTGTGGTTTCCCGCCCTCCGCAGCCTGAGAGCTGTAAGTGACCATCTGGAAGCTCGGTGTCACGCTTCTGGATTTAATTTATTATTTCTGAGAGCCGGGCTCGCCGGGGCTCCAGGATGCCCTTGTTGTGTGAGGTGCCCCTCCCACCGGCAGGTGGAGCCGAGGCAAACTGGCGTGGGTCTGAGGCAGAGGTGGTGCTCCTGGGCCAGGAGCCCTGTGGACCGGCCCTTCCGGACAGGGGTTCCCCGGGGTGCCCCTTAGAGACGCAGAATGTGGACGCAGAATGCACCCAGGCAGTTGCTCTGAGCTGTTGGCGTCTTCCTTCTAGGCTGGTCCAGGGACCCTCATCATGGCTGCAGGAGTCCAGGACTTCAACCGGACGGAGTTTGATCGATTAAGTGAGATCAAAGGTCACCTGGAAATCGCCTTATTGGAAAAACACTTCTTACGTGAGTACCGTTGGGGAGGGAGGGGCAGGGGGCGCCTCTCGGTCGTGACCGCTGTCACCGGGCTCACGGTGGGGACGTCCCCACATGGCCTCTTGCCTCCTGCGTCTGAAGCCCTGCGCTCCTGTCGGCACAGCTGTGATGTCCTTACTCTCGAGGGGAGAGGAGCGTCCCGGGGAAGGAATGAAATGTCCCCTGGAAACTCTTGTTGCTTTAGTGAGTCTGGCGCATTGCAGCGGCTAACTCGGGTTGTACCAGAGCTGTTGGGGGGGTCTGAATTTCGCTGTCCTGTTCTGTTCAGTTTGCACATCAAGCAGGGAGCTGGCGGGTTTCTCTGCCTGTCGGCCGCAAGCATGGAGTCCCAACATGTGTGCTCTGACCATCGGCCCTGCTCCTGGGGTCTGGCCTCTGGGTGGTGGGGACAGTAGAGATTGTTCTGGAAGGGCCGTGGAGCTCCTCACAGAGACAGTCTCATCTGACACAGTGTCTTTCTCCTCTCACCGCCCCCTGCGTCCTCTCGCTCTACAGCTGAGGAGGCAGAGGGGCCGGGGCTGAGGAGTGTGACCTGCTGTGAGGTTGAGTCGTCTGCCTTGTGGGGGCTTCCACCGCGCACGTGGCCTGCTGCGTGACAGTGTTTCAGAGCTAACACAAGGGTGCGGGCGATGCTATTAGGAAAAAAATACCAGGGGAAAGATGCAGCTTCGGCCCTGGATGCCCGGAGCCACCGGGAGAGCTGCCTGGGCCCAGGACGAAGGGCCCACGCGACTCACCTCCCTTCAGGTGCCACGCCCAGCTAGGGCGCCCCTCTGATGCTTGGGACCAAGCAGCCACACCCTTGCTTGCCCAGAGGCCCCATCCTCTGTCCCTACCTGAGTCCTTTCCTCCTGTGCCTCCCCCTTCCGCATGACAAGTGTTGTCTGAGCTCTAGCCGTGGGGACCAGCACTGCCGCCCCTGCCACCCATGTGGCACGTGGACCCTCGCCTGCAAACGGAGGCGGGTGTCTGAGCTGTGCAGGGAGGCCGCGGAGGTGGGCCTGCCTTCTTCTCCCAGGCGGGGGGCAGCGCAGCTCTCACGGCATCTCTGCACACCACCCGCTGCCCTGCCTTCCCCCAGACCCGTGCTTCCCTTGGCGAGTGTGCCTGGGCACGCACACGTGTCGGGGCATTGCCTGTGCGCGTGCCCGTCTGCGCCTCACCAGCCAGCGCTCACCCACAGGGTCCCGTCACCCATGGTTCTGAGGGTGGCGCAGTGGAGCGACTCGGTCCAAGGTGGCCACCGAGCTGGCTAGGGAGACAGGGCCAGGCTGGGTCTGCCCAGACTGCCCGGCGCTGTGGGTGGGGGGGGGCCTGGTACCTTTGACCTGGGCCTGTGCTGAGCTTCTGCAGGGAGGCGCACTGGTACTGCTGGGGCCACTGTGTGGGGCAGCAGAGCTGGGCGGACCCTGCTCGAGGCATCCGTGGGTGCAGCCTCATGAAATTGCCTTTAGCGGGTCAAGCGGAGAATATTGGTGATTCGTGGGGCTCGAGGAACCAGCAGAGCCAGGTGCTCTCATGGAAAGGGGAAGGGTCTGAGAGAGCATCTAGCAGGGACCCCTCCCCACCCACCCCCCCGGCTGGGGAGGGCCAGCGTGGGGCCTCCAGGAGAAGGGGTACCAGGCAGAGGTGGGCAGCGGGTGTGTCCACCAGTGAGGTGAGTGGGCAGGACAGCTGTGACCCGCAGGGACCCGGTCTGGGGCCGACCTGACCCGTGTTGAGAAGAGAAAAAGAGGCAAGAGGCTGTCTGTCCTTGGGTGGGCAGTGCTGGCGTCCCTGGGCTGGTCCTCACGGTTTTACCAGAACAGTGTCTCGTTTCACTCCTGGGGAGCTCGTGTCGTACAAGTGCAGAGTTCCACTCTGACAGCCCAGGGGGTGGTAATGATAGGCATTCTTTCTTAATTACGGGAAATTTCAAGTGGATCAGAGTAGAGGAAGTCGTGTAACGAGCCTTCGGATTCGGCAGGAGTCGGCCGGCGGCCAGGCCAGTTTCCTCTGCGCTCCCAGCCCGGCCCTTCACCCGCAGGCCTTTTGAAGCAAATTCCAGGCAGCGTCCTGTGACTTGATCTGTAAATATTGCATTAGATGGCTCATCACATTTTAAAAACCGAAGTCCAGCATCTACTAGCACAACTGGAGGGCAAAAAGCCCCATGTTTTTCTGGAATATCACCAGGTACCCAGCTTAAGCCCCAATTTCCCCAAACGTCTCATCATTTTTTGGCAGCTCCCTGGAGTCGCAGACAAGGCCCTACGCTGTGATGGGTGGGCGTGCCTCTTCTGTCTCCTACTCTGCCGGGTCTCCCCACTTCTCCCTTTGCTGTTTGTGGAGGCAGCCAGGCCATCTGTGGGGGACGTCCCCACCCTGGGCCTTGCTCAGGGCGTCCCCTTGGCTCCAGCACATGAGCCAGCGTGTCCCTCTCCCTCGGTGCTGCTAGAGGGGTGGTCTGTGGGGGGCGCCCTCCTTGGTGGTGGTGGCAGCTTTCCTGAGGTGGGCTCTCACTTCCGTGCCACCACCCTGGACATGTGACTCCCACGCATCACCACGTTAGCAGCTGCAATGGCCGTTTTCTGCTATTCTTTCTCCATTTATTAACCAGTGTATTTCTGAAAACCTAGCTGTTTGGTATAGTTCACATAGGAGACGCAGGGGACACGCTTGTTCCTCCCCTTTATATCCAGCTTTCAAAACAATGGCTTGGGTCTCTACTTGGAGCCCCCTCCAGGGGTGACCTGCACGGGGCTCTGGCTTTTGTGGGGGGATTTGGCGTCGTCATGATGAGACTGTGGATTTAAACGTTGTTAACGAGTCTCAGTCGCTATGGTCATGACCTCAGCGGGGCTCAGGTAGACCACCTGCGGGCTGCGACTGTCTCGCGTCTCCTAGTGATGAGATGCAGGGCAGGTGGGATGCTGCGTCCTCAGGGCATCTGACCAGGGGGTCTGGGATGCCATGTTGTCCCCACCCGTGCTGTAGAGAGTTCTTTTAGAAATTAAATTTAGTTTTGTAGGTATCTAACATTGTTTTCAGGGTGTATGCGGAGAACTCGAGTTTCTCTTCCTGTCTGCCCCCAGCCCCCTCCCCCGTTGAAAACCAGGTGTCTTTTCATTTTACAGTTTATCTTTCCATTGAATTTTTGTAGAAGCAAATACAGATTTGTGCCTACCTTCCCGCTTAGATAAATATTAGCACGTTCTCACTTCCTCCACGCTGACGTGACGGGGTCCTCGGTATCCGGTGTTCCAGCTCCGCCTGCCGTGTGGCTGTGGCTGAGGGACCTGGCTGCCCCGCGTTCCCTGTTGCAGTCACGGGTTACAGTAGCTGCACTGCCTCCGACCTGTCACAGTTACAGGTGGCGCTTACGCGGCCGTGCCTCTAGTGCACGGACGGCCCTTGTTTCTATATGCTGAACGTCTGGCGTGATGCCCGGGACCTAATTAACAGGAAGTCAGTGCCCAGAGGAGTGAATTCCAGGAAAACCTGGTCAGAGTTGGAATTTGCATGGGAGAGCCTGCCTGTCCCTTCCTCCACTGTCTCTTCTGTCCCAGTACCCAGGGGAATACCGTGTGTCAGAAAGGACGCCGTCGGCCCTGGGGACCACCGAGGGGTGTGAGTTGTCGCTGAAGCTGCCCCGTGTCCCGAGGTGGCTGCCCGACCCTGGTCTGCGGAGGGTGGGGCTGGCGTGGGGCGGGGAAGGAGCTTTGCCCTGGAGTCGGGACCCAGGCTTCTCGCTCCTGACCCGGCCCCAGCGCGCGGGTAGCTGTGGGCACTGAACCGTTCAGGGCCGGCGCACCCCCAGCTGTAAGACGCCTAAGTGGTCGGTGTTAAAATTCCATTCAGCTGTCTGTGGTACCTTCCCCCAGGAAAGCAGGCCATTACCCTTCACGGAGAAGCGGAAATAGCCCCAGTTCACAGCGGCTCTCTTCAGTCATTAAGTATTGAAGAGCACAAATGGTCCCGACAGGAGACAGCGGAGCGCAGCGCAGAGTGGGGATTGAAAGGCGCCTGGCTCGGGACTGGAGGCAGGACCCTAAATCTGTTACAGCCGCACGTAAACAAGTGAAAGGCATCGTACGTTTGCATTAGCCTGAAACGCAGCCCAGCTGTCACTGCTTCCGGAGCACACGCACGCGCTGGTCCGGTTTCGGAGCGGGAGCGTGCGGCCCCCTCACCTGCTGGGCGCAGGCTCTGGGAAGGGAGATTCTCAGCGCCACCGGTTGCAGGCACAGGCCTTCCCCAGAATGACCTGGCGCAGTGTGGGTCATGGGGACGTGCGCAGGGGCCTGCTGGCCGCTAGGCTAAGCCTGAGGCTCCGGGCCCATCTTCTCCCTGCGCTGACGTGAAGGCATGGGCTCCTCCCCGGACACGCTGGAGGGGCCTCCCCTCAGCGCCTGCCCTCGGGTCTTGCTCCGTCGTGTCTGGGCCACCAGCACTGGTACTGGGCACACTGGTGGTGGTTCCTGGAGAGGGTGGCTCAGGGAGAGGGGCCCTTTGCTCCTGAGCCACGCCGCACAGTGCAGGTCAGCAAGGCCGGCTGTGACCCCGTGCGAGGGCTTCCGGCAGCAGCTGGGCAGGGACGCGAGTGGGAGGCGGCCGTCTGCCTCCAGCGGCCTGGAGGGCCGCGCTCTGGATGCTGAGACTGGACAGAGGGGCCCGGAGGAAGGAAGTTTCTGGGCGCCAGCTGGGTGACTCAGGCTCACCATTGAAGTCTTCTGAAAACAGAATGGGGCGGCCGCTCAGAGCTGGCTGGTGGCAGGGTTCGGGGTGGGGGTGATCAGAGATACCTGGAGACCTGGCCCTTCGGACCTGGGCCTGCACATGCCCCTCGGTGGGAGATGGGGAGGCGGCCTGGGTTTTTTTTTAAACTCTGCTCCTCCTGCTTATTCAGTCAGCGGCGTCGAGCTGGGAAGATGCAGCCGCAGTGCCAGAGACGGGTCGGCAGTTCTGCCCCGGCGTGGTGTGCTTAGGAA